TAATGCTTTAATTATGCTATTTTGACATATGTTGACTAATATACATATCAGTATTTACAAAATTTAAATGGAAGAGTATTCCTGGTTTCATTTGATTTCTAACATGTGAAAAAGCTGAAAACAAAATTTTGTTGATATTTGGACATAAACTAAATAAATCTTAATTACCATTTTATATTTAAGAGTGTCAACTTTAGAACTTAGATGTAAACATTTCCAAAAATCAATGCCAAAAATAAGTCAATCGGTGGCAAATGGCGAGCCCACACAGCTAATGTGACAACTACTTTAGGGGAATTTTTTAACCTTCAAAATCCTTGGTGATTCAACCTTAGAATGATTTATGTTATAGCTTTTCTGAAAATGGACTATAAGCATAAAGTAGGTACTTAGGGAAGCAAAATGAAAAGTAGTTTTTATATAATTTTACAGAATACATGTATAACCTCTTAGATATGCAATGAAAAATGATGACAAAATCCATACAAGAGCTCAGTAGTACTAGTAATCCTGAAATTAAAGTATATTGATCAAAATAGCCACGAAGAAAAAAATGCCCTTTAAAATATCTTTGAAAGAACTGATTTTTGTAGAACTTTAACTAACCCTTCCTTCATCTACATATAGGTTTCCTACATCTATCTCTTATGTCACAAAGTATTTGTGGTATAGGACTTATAATCTGAACTTGTTTTAAAAGGTTTCCAAAATATGAAATACCAAAAATCTATGAAAAATATGAGTCTCAAATGGATGGATTTCAGGTATATCCCCATAGACTATGGATACCATTCAAAACTGAGAACTGTAACAACAGGAGATTTAAGTGCAAAATAAAGGAGTTAATCACGTGGTATGATTTACAGAGGTTGAATCTTAACTATTGTAATTTACACTTTTTATAGTTTAGATGATCTAATCTAATGAAGATCTAATCAAGATCTAAACAGATTGTTATCCTTGAAAAGCACAAAACCAGTGATTACAGCATTGATTTCATTCAATACACCATGAAGCCATGTGTCTCCTCTTTACAATGATATATCATTCATTGATATTTGGTCATGGTTGGGCGGGTTATCATTCCATTTGCAAAGTGGGCCAAAATTAGCTTGGGGCCAAGTTATAAACATCGCAAAAGTCAGCGTACGGAGCCCGATGCAATATTGGAAGAATACATAAAACCAATTCTGACTGTATCCTTTCATTCAATGTACCGAAAAGCCAAATTACTCCTCTTTGCAATGGAATATCATTCATTCACAGGGAGTCATAGCTGGCTGAATAATCATTTATTTTGCAAAGTATGGCAAAATTCAGTTCCGACTCAAGTTTCAAACATTGCAAAAGTCAGTACAAGGGACATAGTGGCTATTGGAAGAAGGTGTGACAGGTGTGTTCATACTCATACTCTTGCAAGAATACATCCTATACCTCTCCAAATTGCCACCACTTCCTTGCACATAAAGATGCGCTCATTTGTCCACATCATGCATGGTTCAGCCCTGAGTCATCTTTGGGTTAAAGCAGAGAAAAGCAGCCTATGGGCAATTCTTTCTCGAGGTTTCACAATATCTGGTAAGGAATTGTGAGCACAGATGCTCCTGAGATAGCTCAAAAGAAAAAGTCACAGCATTTCAAGTCAGGGGAACTTCCATTGGCACTTAGCCCTTGCAATGATTTTTGCAATATCTAAAACTTGGTCCAGAGCTGATTTTGACCCACTGTGCAAATGGAAGGATTTCTCACCCAACCGTTACCACATGTGAATGAAGACATATCATCGCAAAGAGGAGAGACGTTGCTTTATGGTACATTGAATGAAATTGATGTAGTCATCACTAGTTTTGTGATTTTATGTAGGCCTGGATGCTGGGGCAAAAGTCATCACAATAAGATGTGCTGAGAGGAGCTGAATCAATGTCACAGCTCCAGATGATGTTAACAAGGAGATTAATGTCACACAGATGATATTTGGGTGTCAAATCACACTGGTGAGGTGAACATGGAGATGTGACAAAGATAATGGAAACATTAAGAATAAAAAGCATCCCTGTCATGAAAGTCACCACTGAAATAGATTAACAAAAGAAAAATTCAACCACTGCCATATGGGTCCTTGACATGGGTAATGCTACATGAATATTGATGTTACATATACGTACATGTAGATGGCTATAACATGAATGAATGCCATAGAGGTGATGTTAACACGGATACTTATGTCACATGGATGACATGGTGATAAAACGTTAATTTGTTCAAAGTTACACTATTTAGGTGATGTTAGTCACATGGAAATAAATGTCACATGGATGTAGGAACTCTTGGGTTAAAGTCCTCGCTTCATCAAGACTTAATATAAAAATGCAATGCTATTTATGAACTATAATAGCTTGGTATGATAAATAGTACAAGGTGTCTCAAAAATGTACCCAAAAGTATATTAACACCACGGTTAAACCAATCAATATTTTCAGATATTTTTGCATGGTCATGTTGCTAAAGCATGTAAGTTTCCTTCCCAATACAAAGTTTTCAGTTAAGTCTTGCATTTTGATGATTTAACCCTTTACTTTTTACTTCATACTTCGATGACAGCCTGTATCCTTGTGCTACATTGTTCATCACATTTGATAATATTTCAGGTGGAACGTTTTTAATTTCTCTTTGGGTGTTGGCTTTATGTTGTTCTAGGTCTTTTGGCTTGGGATTAGCTTAACATGCTCCTTCAAATAGCCCCAGAGAAAAAAGTTCCAAGGTTGAAGATGGCATAACAATCACAGAGAACCAGCTCAATTATCGTCAAATGATTTAGCGGTTAATTGATAATGGAGTTCCATCTGCCAGAGTTACAGAGACTGAATGATATCTAAATGAGAACACTGTGGTTCCAGACAGTTTGAGCCCCTCCATGTACAGCAAGGGCCAAACAAAAATTCCCATAAAAGCAGTTTCTTCTTTCTATATAAAGACAGTGTGAAGGCCTCCCTATTCAACAGATTTGACACCCCAAACATTTTCTCTGGAATGACTTCAAGAACCATGTTTATGTTTATCCCAAAGCCAAGAGACATAGAACAATTTGAGGTCAACATGTGAAAGGAAATTCAAAACATTCCACCAGAAACATTGTCATATATGATAAACAATGTAGCAGTAAGGATGCAGGCTTTTATCGAAATGTAAGGAGGTTAAATTAAACACATGGTATAAAAAGGGTTAAAGCATCAAAAAGGCAAGACTGAGCTAAAAAATTAGTATTGGAGAGAAAACTTACATGCTTTTCCTAAATGACCATGCAAAATTATCTGAAAATATTGATTGATTTATCTTTGCTGTTGATATACCTTTGGTTCATTTTTTGAGACACTCTAGATAATAAAAATTGTTTCTTTAATGTCACTGCCAGTAATCTGACAAAATGAGTGAAGTGAGTCGATTTCTGCTAGAAAATTCAACAAATAAGGTTTCTTTCTTCAAAAAGCATATAGTATGGTAAAATCGGTTAGGTTTTCGTCCTTTTAAATAGATTGACGCCTATGAAGCAAATCAGTTTAAAAATTCATGTAGATGTTCACTGCTTGAATTGCAGCACAAATATTGATGTTTGACCAGTCACGATGCTTCGCATTTTTAAATAGATTGATGCCTATGAAGCAAATCATTTCAAAGATTTATAGATTACAACAGATTTCACCATACCATTTACCCATTCTCTAACTGATTAATCCATGACTTTCTCAAAAACAATAAATCATGTTACAAAATCAAAAAAACTGTTTTGACCCCTGTCAATGACAGTCAAAATTATGAATACCCATATCATTTCTATACACCAACAAATTCAGTGACATGTAAAATATATATTTTTCACTCAATAAGCTTGAATCAGCTTTGTTTCATTTTTGTTATTTCAGTGTTTTATTTATGATTGTCAAATAGTAACGTTCATAGCAGCTGACTCAAAAGCTGAATTACTTTACTAATACTCATTCAATTTTGAATATTTTTTTTTGTTGCTCATACCTCTTCCACTCATAGAATAAATGACAAACTATGCAGAAACTACACCATCCAACCTCGGATCTAATAAATTTGTTGCTATACTTGGAAGTTCTGAACCCAAAATAGATTGATGACATCATAATTTATGCAAATTAGCTAATTTGCATAATTGAATATCGTTACCATACCGTTTATTCAATTAGAAAACCATTCGATACCAAGATCTCCTCTATAGACCAAATAATGACAAAGCTACCAAACATTTCAATTCTAAGGTAAGATGTTTAAAGTTAATTGTTCAATGATAACGTTCATGGTAGCTGCCCAGAAAGCTTAATAACTTTGTTAGTTCTAATCCAATTTTGAATCTGTTTTCACTTTTATGTTGCTTAAACCTTCTGCTCATAGAATAAAAGTCATAACATTGAAGAAATTCTACCGTACGGCTTCAGTTCTTAAAGATACATTGCTATACTTGAAAATTCTGAACGAAAAATAGATTTATGACGTCACAATTTATGCAAATGAGCTAATTTGCATAATTGAATATTGTAATTATATGGGAAATTTATTTAGGTTTAATTTGATACCAATATCATATCTATAGACAAAATAATGACAAAGCTACAAATGATTTAAGATTCCAAGGTAAGATGTCTATAGATGCGTAACCATGGTAACGGAATGCTACAATACAGAGCAACCAATGAGAGTTTGCAAGGGCATCCGGCAGAAAATTGAACCTCAATATGTTACCTTTCAGAAAAGTATGGATGCCATAAATTAACAGAGACCGATACGTTGGGTACATTTTTTGAAACGATAGAGAGGCATGGGTCTCTAACTATGTCTTCAGCAAGTATTTTGAAAAGGATCTTTATCTTCTTATTGGGCAATTCAATATAGTATTGATTGGAGTTCACCTTCTAATTGATTGATGTACCATTGCTCATTTTTAACTGAAATTTACATTTTCAAAATTTCTTTTGCAGATAGTTGAACTACAACATGACCAGCTTTACCAGCTCTCATTCTATGCAGTATTAATGTTATGGATAGGTTAACACCCACGTCTCCATTGACCCCCACAAGTCCAAGGTCAGGTAGCAGCAGCAAGTCCACTCCAACAAGGAGATACGTACTAGGCAGTGGAAGTCCTAAAGAAGGTGCATCCTCACACAATCCACCATTTACCAAGGTAAATATAAAAGTGATTTTCATGCATTACTGCGGTTCATGGTTTAACGAAGCTATTGTGTCTTAACTCATTTATTTGGTAATGGGAATATTCATGTTTGTCAGAGGGGGAAATTAATTTTACAAAGAAAGTTTGTGATGAAAATTGGCCTTACCAATGTCACAATGGGTAATCAGCTAAATGGACAAATGAGCTAATGAATATTGATATTTATAGCCTACATTTTGACCACATATTACTTTCATATATTTGTATCTTAGTGTAGTAAAACCTGCCATAAATGAATCCAAATGAATCCTACCATATTAAGTAAATTCACATTGAAATTTGTTCGCATAATGGGGACAAAAGTTTGAAACAGAAAAGTCTCCACATTTGGGAGCGTTTCCATTCATACAGGTTGAACTGTTCATTGATCTCTTTGATATTGCATTTAAGAAACTTTACTATGAATAAAAGATGGCAGTGGTATCTCATATCTCATCATCGTCATATTTCAGTCCTTGTTTCATAAAATGTTTGTCCCATTAGCTACTTCTATACATCATGCACTATGTTATTTACACTCTTAGAATTGTCACATAAGACTAAGTTCGCCGATTCTCTCATCTCAAAATCAACTTCTTACATCAAAATCAAACAAGAAATAGGAGCTAGTCGGTTGTGAGGGGGTACATCATGAGAGATCACAGGCTTCTATCCGTTCTTTTCTAGAAGGCTGTGACTTAGTTCAAGATTATTTCCGATTTTGCCTAATATAGTTTTGCCTGAAATGATGATGACCAATTTACAGAGATCAGGGGACAGTGAGTATCTCGGGAAGAGATGGGGCTGGGTAAAAAAAGGTATAGTGAACTTTTTATGAGCAATTCATCATAAAGACCGAGAACTCTTTCAATCTTTAGTGTTTGGAGTTAAAGGGTGAAAATTGTTCCAACCTAGGATTAGGATTTTGAAGAATTATCGTGTAAGCAGAGGTGTAATTCTAATAGAAAATAGTTATCTGCTAGCTTTATTGGAATAATGAATTTTTGTTCGATCAATTTTATATACAAATGAAGTCAATAACTGGAGTGTGATATTTCCCACCAGTGCAAATCAATAAAACGATTTGTTTTTTGCAAGTACATACCAGGCTGTAAACAAACCTGCCAGAACTCAATATTCTTCGCAATAGAATAGCATCCTCCCACGCTGTCACATAAAACAGATTCAGATATTCAGATATTCACAAGACAAAATTAATAATGATAAGGCATATTTTACACTCTACATGTTATTGCGGTTAAAATGTAATATGCATCAATCAGTATGTTCTCTGGGGATACATTTGCCTAAAAACTTGGTAATTTTAAAATGGCTTTGAGTTTGTTTTGTTCTCATTTCACAGGTTTCTCTTGTGCAAAATCAACTGAGACATATATGTAGTCTCCCGAGCATTGGGTAAAAGGTAATTGCACTCTGTTTATAGATTTATTAACTTTTTTACTCTGCAGGTTGCACTCTATTTAAGATTTTAGGAGTTTTAGGAGAATTAATCACAAAGGACAGACAAAATAAATTCTGAAAGGGTTCATGGTTAAATTCCTATCGATACAGTATTCAATAAGTCTAATGATATTTTCTCTTAAGGTCTGAATTCTAAGAAAATAGGTATCACAAGAAATGTTATGAGCAAGAATATGGTAAATACATAATCCTTTTGCCAACTATCTCTATGATCTAAAGTTGAACATTTACAATGTAAACACATTCAATTATTTTCTGGAGTTTAATTTACATCAATCCAACTGCAAATATTTGATAAAATAAGAATTCGATTCAATTTTTGTATATCCTGTCATATTTTGTTGCCTGAATAGAAACACTGCTGCCACCTATATTTACCCCTTATTAAAAAATACAATATGTATCTGGAATTATAACTGCAACTTGTGATACATGACCAATAGTTCAAATACTAATTTCAAGCAAATAATAATAATTATTATATTCATTTACATAACAGGATATGGTTAGCAGTTGATGAATGTAATCATGCATGGACAATTAAATCAATGAGACTCATGGACATGGTGCCTGGGAAGTTGGAGTAAACAACTCAGATACACTCTGTTTTCTGCCATAGCACCTTACCACTTGTCTTTGTTATCCTCCTTTGCAGCATGATGTGCAATATAATATAAATTTTGAACCAGCATTTGGTTCACGCTTCAATTCTTTATTTTTTTAAAAACTGCTTCAAAATTGATGTAATATTTTCCATTTTTGTAATGACAGATAATTTAAAAATGATGTGACTTGTCTTAGAGCTCTCTTAGGCAATTAGTCTGTGTCTTGTCATGATGGTTCTTGTGCCTCGATTGATCAAGTGAGCTCGATATTTCAAGTGAATATGATGGTTTTCTAATGTAATTCTGAGGGTTCCCAGGTCTCAAATTGCCTCAATGATGAAATGAAGAATCAATCTATTATATTAGGTTAACTAAAATATTATGGTTCGGAGTATAGAGATCAATACAGTTCACAAATAGTTCTTATTTTAAGTTGTTCTTCTGAATTACAATTACCCTTTATACAACTACTATTGCTTTTTATTTATTTGTTTTTTGTTTGTTTTTTATTTGTCTCACCTTTGTCCTAAGCAAGTAGGGTTAAAAATCTTATTTATTTATCTAACTCGAGCTGAGACTATCTGAAGGCCAATTCTCAAAGATTCATGTCTTTCTAAAAAATGCAATTGCAATTGTCAGTCTTTTTGACTCCAATAATAAATGATAAGATTGATTAATTGTCAAACTTTGTCATTTTTGTCAAAGCATGTTCTCAGAAACAACAAGTCCTAGATATTCCTCTCTACCTCTGCCAAAATATATATGGTACTGTCAAAATGCCATATGCATGTATGTATATTGCCAAGTATTAAAAAGTTACTAGAATATTGGCTAGATAATGAAAAACAAGTCATTGATTGAAATACGCTGATTAAAATGACCATATATGGCAGGTGTAAATAGCCCCAAGGGACTTGTCGGAATTTTAGGATTATGTTTTATATCTTCAATCTGGATTTATTTTTATCCCAGGATTCACTTTCTATTGTATTATTATCAAACTACAAAATACATTTATTGGGTAAATATCTTGTCCGTGAAGTTATAATAAAAACCTCTACTACTAAATATATTTATTGCTGAAAAAATGAAATGCCACATTTTATGGGAATACACGAATTGACTTCTAAACATAACACAATAGAGAAACAGGATATACCTTATCCTAGCTATTATTTTTTGTACATAGTAATTCACCTGAAACCTGCCTCTATTATCAAACACTTCCCGATATTAATACTAGTCCACCCATATAGCTCAGCGGTTAAGCGCATGTACCTCTTACGCAATAGGTCCCGGATTCAATCCCTGGTTCAGTCAATACTTAATTTGCTTATTCGCATAAAGTACTTCAGGGTGTTTGACTGAGTGGTCCACAACTCGTACAACAGGCTGTGGAGTGTACTTGTATGTCTATGTATAAGACCACATAAAAGAATACAGAGTTCCTTCAAGGAGGGGTTTCTGGGTCTATGTTCAAAGTTAATTACGTAAATTACGACTGTATAGTTATACTTAAGAGGTATTGCTCACCTTAATTGGTGGTAAACAAAATACAATACAACAAATACTACACTTAAATTAAAAAGGACATTCATTAATTACTTTTTGAAAGTCATTTCACATGAACATGTATACTGTCACTTAAGCAATGGTTCAACAATTATTTGAAAACTATATTTATTCTGGGTAGCTCTATCAGTACAAAACTGGTCTTCTGTAAATGTTTAGTGGTAATCCTCTGGAATAACTCACTTGTGTGTCTTTCTGGGGATCGTGATATTCAACTTTAGCTCTATGATAAAAAATAATTATTATTCTATTGTATTAAGTCATGCATGTGTAATATATTCAGTCAATTCAATCTTACATCACATTCAGTCACATCAAATTAACCTGTCACATCAACTTAACCTGTCACATCAACTTGAGATAATGTGTAGGTGACTGCTTGGATGATTAAGTATGAATCGAGAGTTCAATGACACTTTTCCAGAAATTACTGTCATTTCATTTCTATGAAATACTTAGATCAATTTACCCCATCATGTATACTGTCTTAAGGCAGTTCATCACTTAAACAAAAGTTTGATGGATTGGAAATTTTTATTTCACCATTTTTATCAAGATATTTTTGATCTAATTCTACCCTAGCCTTGCCCAAGTCGGTCTCTTTTACTATCTTGATTTCTATTATGACCGCCTTGTACCAAAGAGAAAGCCACGTGCTTTACCGACTCAATGTTTATGTCGGTAAAATTTGACCAATCAACGACGGCCCCGCAGCGTTAGCTCATTATTATGCACGGTCAAAAACAAGTACACTTTTTACTTTTCGCCGGGACTTTTCACGAACAAATCTTGCATGAATTCATCATGAAAATACAAATATTTTATCAGATAAATATCAATTAGAGTTTAGTGGATGCCGGAGCATCGATCGGTAACCGGAGGTGAGAAGATTTCAACAATAAACGTTAAAACGATCGCTGAATTCAAATGAACATGTAGGCTGAGATTCAATCACTGATCTACATGACCCGCTACATTGGACTCGGTCTTGCATTTTCATCGCGAAATCAGTTTTAAATCTATTGCATGATTTAATTTATATTAATGACTCTTACATTCCCTATGTACATTTAATTACATAATATATTGTAACTCTAAAGAAACGATCGATCAGATCATTGAATTTCAAATCGGGAAGATTGCTTTGCTTATGCAGGCCAACCTGATAACGTTTTGATTGGTCAATCAGCCTGAAGTCACACGTCGTGTCCACGCGTATATCTGTTAATCAATAAGGTTTCGCGATACCCCTGATAGCGTAGGTATTATGGAAATCTCGAAACCGTTGAATAACTCTGCATAATATCAGCGCAG